AGATGGAAATTCAGTCCATCATGTTTTTGCGTTAGTTCGTGTGACACCCAAACATCGAGTTCCTTTTTGAATCCAAGGTTATGCAAATGGTTCCAAACGGTTTTCTGGCTTATCTTTAGTTCCTCAGCAATTAAATAAGTGGTTATGGGCTTCAAGGTAACAAAAATACTTTTTTGCGAATTTTTTCTTGTACTAAACGTTGGGGGCAGTATTTTATATGTCAAAATGTGTATAAAGTTTAAATGAATCGGTCAAAAGTTTTGAAATGACAGTGATCTCTCTCTTTGCTTGAAGGCAGCACTCATCCAGAAGAGGCCATCTTTGATCAACAGAGGCCGAATTGAGCGTTTGGCCATAGGGGAGCAGCTCGCAGTAGATGATTCCTTGCCCATCCCACCAAACACACAGCAAAACCTTCCTGGCCGTCAATCAGGTCTTGGCCACCATCTGGGCCGCTTCCCCGAGCTTTGACCACGACCGTTTGCGCTCGATGTTGTCATAAGTGACCCATCATCGCCAATCACAATCCGCTTCAGAAACGGGTCGATTTTGTTGCGATTCTGCAGCGATTTGCAGATGGAAATTCAGTCCATCATGTTTTTTGCGTTAGTTCGTGTGACACCCAAACATCGAGTTCCTTTTTGAATCCAAGGTTATGCAAATGGTTCCAAACGGTTTTCTGGCTTATCTTTAGTTCCTCAGCAATTAAATAAGTGGTTATGGGCTTCAAGGTAACAAAAAATACTTTTTTTGCGAATTTTTTTTCTTGTACTAAACGTTGGGGGGCAGTATTTTATATGTCGAAAATGTGTATAAAGTTTAAATGAATCGGTCAAGAAGTTTTGAAATGACAGTGAACACGGTCTTTGAAAAAGTAGTTTTGAGAAAAACGCGTCTAAAGTTTGTTAACTTTACCGACAACCCGCAGCAGTTAGAGTTGGAGCGTTAAAGTCCAGGAGATTAATAAGACAATAACTTTAAGAATATTGCTTATATCGACATAAAATTTTAAGGACATATTCTTGAAATGTTAAACAATAAGATAAGAGAAAAAAATCGATTAACGCTAACCCCCCTTATGTACTGAAGTTGGTTGAAATCGGTTAAGCAGATCCCAAAATATGGTTATTCACCTAAAAGTGGGCAGTGCCACGCCCACTGTCTTATTTTGAACGCGGTTCCTATAAAGTCATTTCATACCATGCCAGAGATAAAATTTAATATATCTGGCTTGTTTAGTGCTTGATTTATCGCGCCTTAAGTTGTTTTTAACAGTACCGTTATATAGGGAGAGGGCGGATTTGCCACCTGGTTTCACCCATTTTGACACTGTTGCTAGAGGTGCTAAAAACGCTTGCTCTGAGTGAATTTTGTTATTGTTGCTTTAGCGGTTTAGGAAATATGCACATTGAGGGCGGGACCACGCCCACTTTAAAAAAAATTTTGAACTGCAGATGGCCCTCCTTCCTGTATACCAAATAACAGTATCTTATCTTATTGTAGAGCTTAGTTATGGCAATTTATTTGTTTTTGATTAATGGCGTTTTGTGGGCGTGGCAGTGGACCGATTTCGCGTATCTGCAATACCAACCGTCTTACGGTACCAAGAAACATGTGTACCAAGTTTCATAAAATATCTAAATTTTCACTCAAGATACAGCTTGCACAGACGGACGGAAAGACAGTCTCCCGGATTTCAAATCGTCTCTTCATCCTAATCATTTATATATATTATACATAATCCTATATCTAACTCGATTAGTGTTAGATGAACAAAACTATTATACTCTGTAGCAATAGGTTGCGAGAGTATAAAAACAAATAACAACCGTTGGTTTAAAGTACGGCTCTTATTATAAATAAATGCTCTAATTGGGAAAAGTGCTCAAACGTTCCGAGTCTATTAATATCCTGCAAAAAAATCCAGAATTACTTATGGCTGCATATTATTTCAGTTTATACAACTATTAAAAAATTGTAAACACCGGATATGAGAATATTTTCGCTTCCATTCGATGCGAATTATTTAATAATTAAATATTATAGTACGAAATACTTTGTATCCTAAAGATTATTTTTTATTATTTAAGGTTCATGTGGGCTGCATAGCACCTATGTGTGACTTCCTGACCGTGGTGGATTCCGATATCGTTCAAGTGGCTTTAAATGCACTAGAAAATATTTTGAAGGCTGGCGAAAAATTTGCTGCTCGTCCAAATCCATACGCCATAGCAATAGAAGAGTGTGGAGGTACATCAATATTCTTTAAAAATATTATTTATTTGTGTGCATTTTATTATTGTTGTGCTGTGAATGTAATATAAATTGATGTCGAATTTGTGATGGGAGAAAAGCTCTGTCGGCCAATGTTGCCCTTTTATCGTAATTAAAGTGAAATAACATTAGCAAAAGCGAAAAAAAACGATCCATACATTTACTTATTCGCCATACAATAATTTTCACATTTTTATAGACTACACATGTATTGGATTGGCAACTAAGTAATTGCGGAAACCAAAGACAATTTTTTCATGAAACTAAATAACTTTATTCTGTAATGTATTGCCCATTTTGATCAATGACCTTTTGCCATCTTTCGGGCATCATCATAATCACATGTTCATAAAACTTCTGGATTTATTAGCAAAAACTGAATCAGGAACGATTTGACATCATCATCATTATTGAAATTTTTACCATTCAAGGAGTTTTGTAAAGATCGGAACAACTCAGAACTATATGGTGGATGTGGCAAAACATCCGAACCAAGCTCCAATAATTTTTGCCGAGTGACCAAAGATCTATGAGTGAAATTCGCAATTACTTAGTTGCCAACCCAATATTATTAAATTGACATTTCTTCCTAAATGTTTTTTGTGATTGGGTTTAAAATATTCGAACTTGGATTTAGAATAGCATCCCTCAAAGTCGGGTATGGGTACGTAAGAATATTGGAGAAAATAAGAATATATATACTAATGCCGCTGACTTAACAGTTTTGCATTTAAAGTTAAAAAATTCGACAATTTAAAATATCCAATTTTTAGATTTAAAATTTTGTATATTTTGCACTTATATTGTTCACTTTTTTATCCACTAACAAGCCGCCAATGCAGAAAGGAGTTTTACGCGAAAAACTAATAATGTGGTTTTGGCTCTGGCAATTGGAGTATGATCTGATTTCTTTATTTTTTTTTGCTTCGTGTTCAAAATATGTAGATATGGTGTGACTGATTGTTTGTATGCAACCCTTTTGTTATTTTTGAACCGGTATGAAGTAAGCGTTAAGATACAAATGTGTTGGTAGGGAACATTTGTTGTGAACGAGCCTTAATTTTTTTTTCTGTTTGGTTGGCATGACATCTGTCAAACATATTCAATAATCTTACCTTGTCAAATTTTGTACCGAAAAGTGATGATTTCCGGAAAGCATTAATTTTTGGTTCCATTTGAGGAAAATTGATGCAGAGTCGCATCGAATGCTTGTCGGAGCACATAGTGATTCTATTTTCCATCAAAGCAATATGAGAAAGATGAAACAGCTCAGATACAATGTTTTCGAAGTGAGATATGAAGAACGTGGAAAACAACCAAACAAGTTGGGAGATGGCAATCACGACAGCAGTGTTGCAAATTTGTCATAGTATCACGTTCTGCGTGAATTATAGGCAACACTTGCAACAGCATTACGTTCTGCTGTCATTTTTTGCACGCAATTTATGCAAATAATCGGCAACACTAAATTTTTGTCTACACATCAGCAGAGTATTAACAATTTTGCAACACACTGTACTGCTGCAAGTATTATTTAGCTCAAACGCACCCGATACTTTGAGTCAAAAGCAAAATGGCAGCCATATTAAATGTTGCACAACGAACAATTTCAGACCGTTTGAAATTTATGGGAGAGTTCCAAAAGTGTGGAAAACGGGTGCCACATCAATTGAATGAAAGATTAATGGAAAACAGAAAAAACAGTTGTGAAATTTTGCTTCAAAGACACGAAAGAAAATCAGTTTTGCATCGAATTTTCATTGGCGATAAAAAATGAATTTATTTTAATCCTAAACAGAGAAAATCATGTGTTAATCCGAGACAACCATAAACATCGACTGCAAAAACAAATCGATTCATTCGTGGTATATCATGAGCCTCTTAAACCTGGTGAAACTGTTAATACTAATCGCTATATACAACAAGTGATTAATTTTAACCATGCATTGATCGAAAAACGATCAGAATAGGCCAGAAGACACGGCAAAGTTATTTTGTTACACGACAATGCACCTGCACACAAAGGAAAATCGGTTCAGGATACAATTAAAGCATTTCGCTGGGAGCTGCCAACCCACCCGCCGTATTCACCAGACTTTGTCCTTTTCGATTAAGATATGTTTTCATCAATAGGACACGCATTGGCTGAGCAGCACTTTCGCAGAAGTCGAAAATTGGGTGTCAGATTTGCTTCAAAAGACGAACATTTCTAGTGGCATGGTATCCACAAATTGCCAGTAAGGTAATAAAAATGTGCAATGGCCAATACCTTCAATAAATTTTTTTTTTACATCTGGTAGAATTGAACAAAAAGTTAAGTATTGAATTAAATCTGTTATTATTGGCAAATACCATGTATAGTACCAATTTAGTTTGATTATAAATATGTGGAAACAAGTTAGTGAAGTATTAATATAGTGATAATAGAAGTGTAAAACCACATAAAAATCAAAAAATTTCACATCTAAAATTGGTTTGAACTTTAAATACAAATAATGCAAAAGCCATAAGTCAGCAGCCGCTATATGTATATTCTTAATCTCTTCTATCATCTCTTACCCATTTCAACTCCGAATTCAGGGGCTGCTATTCTAAAATTTATCCAATATTAGCGATATCGATCCATCCTTTTCCTAGCCCCCATAAGTATGGAGACTGCTTTTAGTGATATACGTATTATCTTGATTACCGTTAAATCAAATAAAATAGTTACGTTCATGAACCAAGTCAGCATTGAGTTATGAGTATTGGTGGAATAAATTATAATTGTTCTGGTGATGTTCTTAAACAATATGAATTAAATCTTGGTATTTACACATATACTATATTTTCGTGTAGTTTACATACTTTGTTACGTCTATATATATTTACTTTTATATTTAAGAAATGAAATGAATATATATAATCCGCAAAATTGTAAATTATACTTTTTTCTTTCATTTAAGGTTTAGACAAAATTGAGTATTTGCAATCTCACGAAAATCGCGACATTTATTGCAAATCATTTTACATAATTGAACAATATTTTAACAACGAAGAAGAAGACTCCCGTGTAGCTCCAACAGAGGAAGAAATGCATTACACATTTAATCCAAACATTGCAACTCCGAAAGGCGGATTTTTATTTTAACTCAAAGGATGGTTTCCTTCTTTTGGTATAAAGCGAATATAATGCATCTGTAGACAATTTATATTTCCTACAAAGCACATATATTTTGTTATTGTAAAATTAAAGATTTAAATTTTTTTCTGAAAAAAGTTCAAACAAATACCAAGAATGATAGAAATATAGATTACGACAAATTCGTACGGTTAATTGTTTTGAGTTTTTCAGAAATACACTGATTAGTGATGTCATAAACGGAGGGAAACGTTACGTGATGCAATCTTGTCTATCATTCTTGAATAAATATATTTTTACATACATTCATGTATAGATATGTATTTTAAAAATTTGATTGTAATGACAAATTCTCCGACAATTTTGTTTAAAATTATTTTCTTTATAATTCTTGCAATAAAAAGTGGATATTAAAGCATAGCGTTCTGCTAATGTTTGGTTTAATTTCTCTACTATAAAAATCTTAAAATTTATATGTATATATTATGGTACTTTGTAAACTTTTATTAACATAACGACGACTTTGCATAGTGGTCTATTCGTATGAGCTACATGATTTGAGATCGTAAGGTTTCAGACCGATTTTTTTAAATTTTTAATCTTCATAATATAGGATGTTATATATATCGGTTTGAGAATCTTGTTTCGGTTCTATACAGTGGTTGTATGCAGTTTAAAATTGCGCAAATGATGAGTAAATGTAAGTGTTTAAATGAGTTTAAACTCCCTCCTCCAAGTACACCACTCTACTCGGGAAAAACTGACACGCCTTAATGAAACACACCACACCTGTGAACACTCAAGGAATTTCACCCCACACCAGATGACACCACACAGGACAACACAACATACCATTTCTCATTCGCTATATATTCATTCGCTTATCGTCTACGGGCCTGAGCGCCACATCAACTTTCCGTTTTTTAGCATTTCGACTCGCTAGTGATCAGATCTTCGAACACCCGCCTAAATCGACTCCCTTTTTTTAATAATTTTGCCAACGGTGAGTGAAGTTAAAATTAACTTATTAATTAATTATTCATGGTCCTTCGAGCCATAGTGAGCGGCACTATGGAGTAACAAAAAAAAAAAAAGGTGAAGTGGCTAAACGTTAATATATACATGCAAACGAACAAAAAAAAAAAATGTATATATATATATAACAAGTGACTAAAAAGTTCTGTGGAGTGAACTGACATACATATACACATAGAAGAAGAAAAACAAATAGTTAAAAGTTAATTTTAAAAAAAAGAAGAAAGTGTGGAGTGACACAAACATATGTACAAGAGGTAAAAACAACAATTATCAAAAAAAAAACGGGCGCAAAATAACACAAAATTTCATATGAGCGCGAATAGCAACAAAAATACATACATACATGGGGCCGGGCGCGAGTCAAAACTAACAAAAAAAAACATAATCACTTTAAAAGGACACAACAACAACCACACCAGCCTAAATCAGCACAGCGAAGCAGAAATTGGGAGAGAGCCACAAGCGGAAAAAGCAACACACAAGTATACCATACACACATATAGTATACATTATTGTCCCCAAAACCCCTTGGTGGACCCCAAAGTGAGTCGTATCGTTTCCTATTCCTTTATTTTATCATGCATATATGTATGTAAAGATTACAGTTTTATATATATAGAACCTGTAATAACAAATACGTTCACCAAACTACAACAGTTCGGTAAAATATATATATAATATATATATATACGAACATAAAGATGTATTATTAAGAACAACAATAATTCAATTCCTATTTATGCTTAGCTTCGTGTATTCAAGTACACCATCAAGAAACAAAAATCAAAAACGAATTCAATTATATACTTGCAAATTTCTCCAGCAATACCCCTTGTGTTTAATAAAGCAATAAGCAGGATTACATATAAGTAAGCAAAGGCAAAATAGCAAATCTAAAACAAGACAGAGAAACAAATAAAAACACAACAAACAAACATACATATATGCATATCGAAATAACGCTTATATATCACATCTCTATATATCGTTAAATATATATTTTTAATAAACATATATACATACAAAAATATATTTACAAAGTGCATACGGTCAAATACCTGCACATTATTTACTTTGCTTTCGCGCTCTCTTCGCTGTGCGAGCCTATATACACATTTATATACACAAACGGCGATTAATATTATTATTTAATATTGTTATTTAATATCCATTTCAAAAAAGAAACAATTATCATAAATTTCGAATATTATCAAACGGCGATAAAACAAATATATGATAAACGAATTTATTAAAAATTAAAATTATTAAAAACAAAATACAAAAAAAAACATTTTTTCCAACAACATACTTACATTCATATGTTACATATATTCAAAGTCCTCATAGGCAATTATCCGGCAATACCCCTTGTAACAAGCAGGATTGCATACAAAAAAAAAAGCACATTGATCTCTTCAACGAGCTCTCAATTGCATTAGAAAATAAACATACATACGCACAAACAATCCGTGCATACTTATGTACAAAGTGTATTGATCTCTTTAACGAGCTCTCATTTTCACAAGCACATAAATATATACTAACAAGTCCGTGTATTAGGGTGTACCTAAATACACCAACATAAGGACATAAAAGTGTTGTTAAATTAAAAGTGCGATTCTTAATAATTAAATTAAGAAAATTTAAATTACACTCACAACAAAATATTTAAAATAAAATACAAATTAAAAAATTTATTTCGCATTTAAATATTTATCTAGTCCGAAAAAAACTCGTATACAAGTATACGCAAAAGAGTATTCGGTATTAATTATCATTTATTGCTGCTTTTAAATCAGTTTACACTGAGAAAATTTTAATTAACTTTGACACATATAGTAATAAATAACATAACAAAAATGGTTAATGACGATAAAAATCATTTTACACCTGCAGAAGCTACACGCCCAAGACAGGTTACCACAAAGCAAATAAAAGGCAAAAATATTTGTGCCACCAAATTCATTTCTGAGAGTGAGACCGATTCAAGACATCTCTGAATCGTTATTGGAAAAAAAACAAAATATTGACAATTTTTGGTCTCGTCTCCAAACGGCTCATGACGTCATTGTAGATTATGACAATTCAAATCTACCACACGATTTTAAATCATCAGCTTACGCACTATACGAAAACTGCTTAGACCAGTACGAAGAAACAAAAGCTATGATTTCTGATCAATTAAAGCTAATAAAAGCGATTGCACCTACTCCACATCCGAGAGTAGAGCTGCCACAAATTCTAAGTCAAGAGGCAAGTTCAGGCATCAATCTCGAGGTGCCCGCATGTGACACAGAAATATTTTATGGAGGTTATGAAGAATGGCCGTCCTTCCGGGACATGTTCACTGCCGTATACATCAACCATCCAAAATTATCAAAAGCGCAAAAATTGTATCACCTCCGATACAAAACAAAAGGTCAAGCAGGCATAATAGTCAAACAGTTCGCACTTTATGACGACAATTTCAATTTGGCTTGGGAAGCTCTAAAAGCAAGATATGAAAATGAAAGAATATTGGTCGATAACCAAGTAACGACACTAATAAACTTGCCTAAAATTAAAAAAGAAACAAGTGAAGAATTTGTTAGACTACAATCCACTGTTTCTAATTAATTGTCGGTTCTATCGACACAAAATATTCTCACAGACAGCTGGGACCCTATACTGGTGAACATATGCACCGCCGCATTACCAAAAAAATCGTTACTTTTATGGGAGCAATCACTCTCCCACGTGGCAACAAATGAAAGACTTTCTTACTACCCAGTACGAAATCGCTGAAAGGGTAGACAAAAAGCTAATTAAAACAAAAATTGTACAACACGACCTAAAAAGAAGCTTCAATAGACCCCAAGCTAGTAGCAAAAACAAATTAATCAGACAAAACGCAATCGTTCACATCTGAACAGAACAATCGTACGTCATGCGAACTATGCACGAGAGGGCATAAACTACAATCTTGCGAGAAATTCAAAAAATTAAAAATTATAGAAAGAAACTATTTCGTGAGATCAAAAAAATTATGTACAAATTGCTTGTCACATGCGCATACATATAAAAATTGCAAAAGCAAATTCAATTGCTTATATTGTCACAAAAGACACAACTCAATGCTTCATTACAGCAAATTACCCATATTACCCCAAAGAAGCGCTTATACAAAAAGAACCACAGGTTTAGTGGTAACCAAAACTCCCAAAAACCAAAATGCCGAAATTTGCCAAAAGAAAAGTTGCTCAAAGGCATTAAAAACTCAAACGCTACACAGCGTAATACAAAACAGGGTATTACTACCCACAGCAGTCATCTCCATCGAACAACGAGGAGAGCTGTTTAAACTTAGGGCCTTAATAGACCAAGGATCACAACGATCTTTCATAGCGTCTAGGGCACAAAATAGGCTACAACTGCCAACAAAACAAGCCAACTTTGACATCACGGGAATGGGCGGAAGAGTAGTCCAAAACTCAAATAAAATCTGCCCCCTTACCCTAATTTCCCCCCAAGCGGATAAGAGAATTAAAGCAGAAGCTATAGTCTTACCGCAACTAACAAATATGCTTCCAAGCTATCATATAAAAACACAAATATCTATAATTCAACCAAATCATCGAGATATATTACTAAGTATTCGAAAAGAAAATTTATTGTACACTAATTTCCTTAAATTTGCAAAGGGCAGTACAACATAAAAATACAGGGGATCCAATGGAATGCGATATCTGATCAGCTTTCATATCCTACTGAATCAATATCTGCATTATCCGCAATAATATTTTTGACCCTGCAGGATGACTTTCGCCAATTATGATACAAGCGAAAATCCTAATTCTTCTTCACTTAGAAAAATGGTCACAATCCTCAAACAATCTTAACGATATCCGAATCTACCGATTCTTGGCCACAATCGCCCACTTCCATACATAATATCGTCCGCAACATACGAGTAATTGTCATAGAATGTCCAAAAATCGACACTTCTCTTACTAGAGTGCCTCATAGTTGTCAACATTTTCATAACGTATAAAACTTCAAAATTAAAGTTAAGGAATCACCATACTTGCAATGTGATACAGTGAAGCACCCAGACTTACAAAAAGCAAAGGTCGCATTTATCGCATCTATCTAAGCGCTCATCATACGGGTAGTTTATGGGAAACACTTGTAAAAGTTGTAAATCTCATTTCAAAAAAGTGAGCGAAAATCACAAATCTCACTCTCGCAAGATCCCTCTTCAAAGGTTTCAAAGGAGCACCCATTCTGGTCATATCTGAGCCAGGCGTGGAGTCGCTAACCGTAATAAACCGATGGTAAAGAAATTTTAAACAAACAATACAGATAATAAAATTATAAAAGAAACAACCGCAATACAATAAGTATGAAAAGCACAT